TAACTATATTTAACCTATAAGTCCAACGTGTTCATCCGAAGCCTTCATCAGGGACAAGACAGGGGTCCATGAACATATTGAATTCTTTTCTATAGGTGTTTCACCAATAAAGGTAAATCCACCTTCAACTTCCACACAGGATGTGAGGGTTTTGTTTTTTTTTTACCAGTAAAGGGTCTTTATAAACAGGGGTGCACATAAGTGGTCATTCGCTGTCAAAATAAAAGACGCGTACCAGATAAGAAGTTGCAACGTTTGCGTACATATAGAGTGGGATTTTCACGGCATATTCTGCACCACAACTCTGTGCATTCATCATTTGTTTGAAGCCAGCTCACCTCCTGCAACCTCTTTTCCGAGAATACGTGCTTCTTTTGCGGTTCGGACTCCTTCTGACATTTCTTTGAAGGTGGAGGAACACCAAGTAATTGCTTACAGGAGCTTGCTTCTTCGACACCTTTAAGAGTTCTAAACAAATGTCTGTCCTCCTCCAGAAAAGCTTATGTACGCAAACGCGTGTTGCAACTTCTTATCTGGTGCGTGTCTTTTATTTTGACAGCAAATGCGCACCTTATGTGCACCCCTGTTTATAAAGGTCATTTCTACTGTAGGCCCTTTACCTTACAAGGTCAACACCTGTTGTTGTTGTTTGGTTATTTAAAGAAATGAAATGTGAATGAATTGAATTAAAACGCCACCAGCAAGAGGACTCGTCCACAAACCTGGACAAATTCAGTCAAAATCAGACAAGAAAATGATTTCCTTTACTGACCTATAATTTATAAATCCAAATTTCTTCTTTTTGGCTAAAGCTCTTTTGTATTTCTTTGTAGTCAGGGCTGGACTGGTAATCTGGCATTTTCAAGATGTAACGACGCACTTTGGGGCGATGAGGCGTCTTGAAGGGCTTCTGTACAAGCACTTACAGCGGCCCATTTTAATTACTGACACTGGATTACCCAAATCAGACCTCTTAACTCAACCGCCCGCACCTTTTGGAAAAAGTTTAGTGAGGAAGAAGTGGCTAAAAGGTGGAGCTGAAAAGCTGAGAGAAAACAATAAAAAACAAACTAATAATAGAATCCTCTCAAATTAGCTGACACGTTAACTGTCGGTGCTTCTGCACCAACAGTAGCACCAGCATCTAGAGGTGGGAAGTAAGTATAAATGCTTTGTTACTGTACTTAAGTAGAATTTTCAGCTATCTGTACTTTACTTATTTTTTATGTTTCTCCACGACATAACGTTTCAACAGCATTTCTATCATCTCAACAAACATCAGCACACACACAAACCCATCGTGTGTAGTCACAGTGTGTAGTTACAGCTGCTGTGTTACTCAGGCAGAGAAACAAAAGAGAGGTAACTGCACTCAGAGATGGAGAAAGACAGGACAGGAAAGGAAGAAGAGAGGTTAAATTTAAAGGTAATGACTGCTCAGTGATACCTGATAAACTGCAGATTTAAATGTGTGATGTCATAATAATTTATATAAATACATTTTTGTGTCATATTAATATAGCAGAAGGTCCAGTTACCTGTGCATAAAAATGGATGGTAGAATTGTCCTTCAGGGAGCTACTTTTTACTTTGAGTGCATTTCAGAGCCTGTACTTTTTCACTTTTACTTGAGTAAAGAAATTGATCAACACTTTTACTGGATTTTTTTTTAACACACGTATCTGTACTTGAATCCTTTCCAAAGAGTACATCAAAAAAAAAAAAAAAAAAAAAAAAAAAAGAGTACATCAAATGGAAGCGCTTCTTAAAACAACTTGAAGTGATCCTCTTTTGAAACAGTCCTATTTTTATAGAGTTCACTGCAAACAGGTTTCAAATAGGTATTCCTGGTTGGCTGAATAACTTTCCAGGGTACAGTAAAGTACTCTAAGGTACAGGCTGAACTGCTGTCAGGTGAGTGGGTATAATTTTGTATTTCAGTCTTCTATTATGTTGAAATTACTCTCCCACTAAGTCCACAAACTCTAATGGGCAGTAACTTAGTTTGATTTGCAGTAATGTATATATTGTTTATTGCTGTGTAACAGTACACTGGTCCAAAACCGAGACACTCGTATATCTACGTATTATTTTTCTTTTAGCATAAATAAAAACTGAAATGATTTGACTTTATTATTATTGAATGGTGTTTCATAACTACCACATATAGAAAAAAAATCATTACATTAAAATAATTGGTAAATTAAGATAATGTTTAACCTGCTAATATATGGGAGAGAGAGAGAGATAGACCAGAACAGAATGTGATAATTTAGCCCTTAAGCCATGACACATGCATAACATATAACTATAAAATATAAAAACCAGCTCGAGGCAGATGGCTATCCCTCCCTGAGCCCTGTTTTACCAGAGATCTCTTACCTTGAAAAGAAGTTCTTCTTTCCTACCCTCCCTTCATAATGCTTGCTCATAGAGGATCATTAGGTTTTTTCTGTAATATTGTACTGCACTGGTGCTCTGTAAATAAATACAACCAAGACATCAAAAATATATCTGCAGACAGTAACAGACAAATCCAGCTACTCTACACCTGGTGAGAAAACAAAAACAAGTGATTCTACTATTTAATCTTTTACTTTATGACCCTATTGTGTATATTTCTGTGTATTTATTGTTCATCTGCGATAGAACTTGAATAAATGGCAGTCTGTCAGAATCAGAAACCAAAAAACATTGAATGCTGAACGAGAATAGTAGGGGATAGGTGTAAAAAGCACCTTTACAGTTCTGGACTGGAAATAGGGGGAAAGTTAACAGAATTTTTCTGTCATTTTTTTTGTTCTTTAATAGAAAAATTTTTTAAATCATAAATATACTTTGATTGGTATGCAATTATGTTTTTCAACAAATTGATGCATTCTCATGAACTTCGAGTTAATCCATTAAAAATTCACAGGAGCAGCACCGGTTTGTCCTGTCATCTTGAATACAGATGGACTGCCATTCTGTGTGTGTGTGGCTAGAGATAGTCTGCATATGAAGTACACCTGATGTTACACATGAAAATGTGCATAAACATAATTACACACAATATTATTCTATTTTTTTCATATTTATATCCTGTTCACAGCCTGTACATACTTATAGTTATAGCATATTCATAACATACTTCATACCGTGTACATATTACATACCGTAATAGACCCATTTCTGTAATATACTTACATATCTATATTATTGCTAATATATATTGTAATATATCTATATCACTAAAGCACTTCTGGATGGATGCAAACTGCATTTCGTTGCCCTGTACCTGTGACATGTGCAATGACAATAAAGTTGAATTCTGTTCTATTCTATTCTATTACTCATTGTCAGCAAATTAGATATGTTTTCACACAGCTGACAATAAGCTGGTTAAACAACAACAGCTGGTTATAAGCTATTATTATGCCTGCTAATGGCTGAGAAGCAGCTTGAATATATTTTCACATCACATGAGACTTTATTCGATAACAGTTCAACAACACTCGATCCACTTCCAAGAAGGTTTCACGAACAGCAGCTAACAGTTGCTAACAGCAACAAAAACAGCAGCTCTTACCAACAGAAAAGTTCACGGGTATCAGACAGAAGTGAGCTTCACTGACTCGTTGACTCGTATTGAACTTTCACAAAGTTTTACAGCTTCCTCCTGAATAAATAAATGTGAACAGATAAAAACGTTGGACAACGCGCTTTTAGTCATTTTAAAGCAAAAATCGAACTTGTTTTAATCATCACAATGACAATCAAATCTCAGTTTAATATTGCAAGATAGTTTAACTGCGTGCAAAGACAAGAAAGAAGATTTAAGTTCTAAAAATATTTGTATGCCCACTTCAGAGCACATGCATTTTTACATCAACAGACCAGACTTATGTATGAGTCATAATGGAAAGAAGTGAGAGAGAATTTTAAACTTCACTGCATTTCTGTCATCGAGAGCAGAGACAGGAAGTCGGCCATACTGTGTCTTCACCATGCTTTCTGCATTTATGACCAAACTGGCTGAATAAGTACACATGTCCTCAGTGTCACTATGTGCGCAGAGAATAGGAGAAACCTAGTGCTCAATAATGTATCTCTGGATTCCCAGTTTCATATATTCATGTAGTATTCCCTTACTGTGTATGCATTATACATGTTTCACTGTAAAGCCTGTTGGGACTGAGGCATGTCTTACCTGCTTTAGAACTGTGTACCCTCTGCTATGCAATCCCTTACCTAAAAATGTAATGTTACCATCAACAGGATTTACTGTAGTTCAAGCTTGGACCAAAGTAAAGACACTTTTAACACCATAGCCACAGAAGTTTGCTTTCAACTTTACATTAAATATTTCCTTAGACCAACTTGCCATCTATGGCAAGTTGGGTCTCGGTTTTTTCTGGTCTCTGAAGGGTTTCTGTGTGCTTTTATCTTAAAAGAGAGAGAGAGGGAGTGCAGGAGGATATAAGAAATGAGAGAACATTGGAAATTGCTTTATTACTTTTCACCCAAGCTCAGTGCCAGACTTGGAGGTGAGGTGAAATCATTAACAGGAGGCCATTATGCTGCCGAGAGAATATCCCTAAGGCAGACCAGCACAGTTATTCACTACTGTGTGATTTAGAAATACATCAGGAAAGAGTGTCTTACATTTCAGTGTTTGAGGGAATCTATTAAAGATAACCAAGTGGCACAGAGAAACCACCGTTACCTGGGTGATAAAAATCATGTGAGTAAAGAGAAAATATGTATTTTTGGAACCTCAGACTTTAAACACTTGGAACAGGAAAAAGGGGCCACACATGTGCCCCTCTATGCTGCCTGCCAGCTGGAAAGCTAAGCTCCAGAAGTCACTGATCCTGCACAAGTCCTGCCCTGCATCCTTGTTGAAATGCATAAAACTGTTTGGTCTTCAAAGCGCAGCACAATCTATATTTCCTGACTGCTATCATTACTTGCATCCCATTAAACGGCATGTTATTCTCCATTGTGTGCCCCTTTTCCAGATAAACTCCACTTGGCATCTTCACTCCTCCAGCAGCCATGGCTCTCTCTGTATCTGGAGGAACCGTGTTCACTGTACTCCTCATTAGCAGGTAAGAAAGGACAACCACTGGGATCTACAGCCGCAAAGTCATCAGCCATGTCAGATTCTAATTTCTAACAACACCAAAGCTTTGTAGTCAATGAGCTCAGGAGGAGATACTTAGTCGCATCATTTTTGTGTAAACCATCAATACTCAATAACAACTCTTCATGCATCAGGCAAAAAGCATTGAAACTCCATGCCTACACTGATGACACTGCTGAGCAGAATCGATGAGGCAGCATCCAGCACCACATGGATGCAATTGGTGTTAAAATCCCTGCAGAGGTCGTATGGTGAGAATGATGGGATGCTTTGGTGCACATTTGTATGCTGTTGGGAACCAAAGCCTCTGCTCTTCTTGCAGTTTATTCTCAAACTATAGAGTGCACTATGCACATTCTAGATAAGACAAACCCTCTGGCTCATACTGAAAACAGCTATAAGATATGCTCTGGGATTTTTGTGTTGTGGCACCTAAGGGCCTCATTTATTAAACACTTCTAAAATATACATTTATATTAAAAATATAAGTCTGCTCAAAAGTCATAAATGGTGCACACAAAAGAAAATAAATCAGCTTTATACTATAAGAACACGAAGTTACTTTTCACTTTAGAAATCCCAGTATACCTGGAAGTGAAGTCCAGCTTTCTACATAACCTATCTAACCATAAAGAGCCAATGACAAGCCTATGTATATAAAAGATTGACTTGACTATGCTGACTATGCTGAAATCACTGACTGGATTTGGATCGTTAGCATACTATGTTTATTTGTAAGAGTAGTCAAAGTGCTAAGTTATAAGCTAATGCTAGTGTAAGCTAATGCTAGCAAACAAACTTCTTTTTAATAAGGTACTATGAGCTCTGCACATGCACATACAGATACCTGCTAATTCATTTTAAGTAACACACTAGAACAATAGTAGAATTTCACTCACCAAAATGATCCAACATCATCAGAACGCAGGTTGAGAGGTCCAGTTCAATAACTCAACAGAAGTGAGGCCTAGCAGACAGCTGCTGGCTACATGTCAGTCTCCACCCTGTTTTTATGAAGAGGGAAATTACCAACTGATACTAAAATAACTCTTCCAGGTTGTAAATATGTCGGTTTAGTAGTGTGCAGATCGGATTCTTCTGCCTGTCATAGTGGTACAAAATACGGCTGTATAAATGGCTCGCTCACTCGTGGAGTCGTGTGTGGAGCTATTTCAGCTCCACAAACAGCCAAGACATGGTTTGCAAGGCCACAAATCTTGTGAAAAACAAACAAAAGTCAATTATAACACAGAATTTGGTGATGACTTGAGGAGGAGAAGGACAGGTACTGCTAGGGTGAGATTAGCATACACTATGGTGATGCACACTACTTTTTAGTATGATTTTCCAAACACATTAAGTTTTTCTACAAAGTATCGGTATCGGATCAGTATTGCTGATTCAAAGCTGAAATGTACTTGGTATTGGATGAGAAAAGAAATCAGTGGTATCACACATCACTAGTTTCTTAGTTTAAGTTTGGCCTTTTAAGATGGCATTTCCACAGTGGCTTCATTTTAAGCCTTGGTGGATGCCGGCTGATATGCGCAGAAATGAGCTTATCAATGGTTCTTATAATCATTACTTTTTCTGGCAGTATCTGCGCGTTAATCATGCAGCGTTATGCACAGTTGGCATCGCAACATTTACACATTCACAGCAATGAGGCTGATTGATTCACAATTTGACCGAATGATCTCTATAGTTAATGGTAGCCTGCTGGAATCTGCAAGTAAAAGTCTTGAGAGACTCTCAGAATAAGAATAAGCCCGTTCGGTTTACATGAAAAGGAGGAACCTATATTCATCTATACACTTCGATATTGATACAGTCGATGTCAAAGAAAGAGTTTCTTGAATCCACTTCGCTCATCCTGCATTTCAACAGCTGGACTGTGGACCCCCTCTACTCTCCTCTCTGGGGGTTGTGAATGGGATGGTGAGACACCACTGGAAACTGGAAACTGTGCTACTGTTGGCTTAAGACAAAAAGAATAGGAAAGAGTGAAGACGTGTTAGGAGGCAGCGGGAGAAAAGGAAAAGCAGATGTGGAAATGAGAGTAGTGCTTTTTAATGTAGTATAGTAGTAATATAACTGGTAAATGGAGAGAGGAGGCTGGTATTATGGCAAAAAGGAAAGTAGAAATAATGTGTGCAGGGGATGTGGAAAAGGAAGCAAGGCCAGGAGCACTCGAGGTGGATCGAAGCTGTTCTACCATGGTGTAGATAAAAAGAGAAATGGAGTAGGAGGGATCTTGCAGAAAGAGTATATAAACAGTGTTGTGGAGGTGGAGAGTGTCAGACAGGATCACGAGTTTGAAGCTGGAAATCAAAGGGGTGATGTTAAATGCTGGCAGTATGTATGCCCAACAGGTTGGATGTCAGTTAGAAGAGAAAGAGGTATTTTGGAGGAAGTTAGGTGAAGTGTAGAGAGTGTCCCCAGGGGGGAAAGAGTGGCAATTGGAGGTGATTTCAATGGACATGTAGGTGAAAGGAACAGAGGTGACGATGACTGAGCGGCAGTATGGCTTCATGCTAGAGAAAGAGCGCTACAGATGTGATCTTTGTTTTGAAAATGTTGATGGAGAAGTACAGGGGAGGTCAGGAGGAGCTTCAATGTATATGATAGGGTGCCAAAAGAGGATCTGTGATCATGTATATATGAGTCAGGAGTGGCTGAGAAGTATATGAGGTTGGTGTAGGACATGTATGATGACAGTGGTGAGGTGTGCAGTACCAGTGACAGATGGCTTTAAGGTGGGGCTGGGATTACATCAGGGATCAGCTTTGAGCATCTTCTTGTTTGCAGTGGTGATGGACAGGTTGGCAGATGAGGTCTGGCAGGAGTCTCTAAGGACTAAGGTGTAAGCAGATGATGTGATCTGTAATGCAAGTAGGGAGCAGGTGGGAGAAAGCCTGGAGAGGTGGAGGTATGCAGTGGAAAGAATAATGAAAATCAGAATGCATGCGAGGCAGGTGGAAAAGGAAACGTAGAAGCAGAAATATTGAAGGTTAATGAGTTTAAATAACTGGGGTTAACCATCCAGAGCAGTGTTGTTGGACATGAGAGGTGAAGAAAAGTGTGCAGGGTGGAGCGGGTGGAAACAAGTGTCAGGGGTGATTTGTGACAGAAGGATAGTGACAAGAGTGAAATGGATTTAGATGAAGGATGGTAGTAAGTCCTGCTATGATGGTTTGTAGATAGTGGCACTGACAAAAACACAGGAGGCAGAACTGAAGGTGGCAGAGGTGAAGGGAGGAAGAAAGTGACAAGATGTTTTACCAGGAGTGACTAAAATGGACAGGATTAGAAATGAGTATATTAGAGGGGCAGCTCAGGTTGAGCAGCTTGGAGACAAAGTTGGAGCCCTGAGATGGTTTGGACATGTGCAGAGGAGGGATAGTGCATATATTGGACACAGGATGCTGAAGAGGAAGGCCTCAGAGATGATTCAAGGTGATCAGCTCTGAAGACCCTTAAAGGGAGCAGAAATTCAACAGGTGGGACAACCCTAAGTACAGTTGCAGTGGCTCAGTGTGGGGAAAAGAATCCCAACTCCAAAATTACTAGCGTGAGCTCCAGTAGACTTTATAGTGTACAGGCTGTGATCAGCTGACCTGCTGCTCTTTGTGGATTTACAAAACTTAATGAACAACATGTCAACAATTTCACAAGCTGTCTTGGCTGGCTTCCATTTCCTACACTAGTAGTATACTGTATATTGTCTCATACTAGACCTACAGCTGGTATAAAAGTTGAATTCAGTGAATTAATCTATCCGTAAGTACTAAAGCCACTATGCACCAGTTCGACGCAGTGCTTTATTAAATATTCGTCACAGTACAGCAATCTAATCTCTTTATTCCATCCAACTACTGTATATTTTCTTGCAACATTTAAATAACACAATTATTAAATAATTATTAAATAATATTAAATAACACACTGGAAATACAGCAGCTGGATCTTAGACTAACAACACACTGTGCGACAAACTGCACTCAAACAGTCTGTGTGTTTGTGTTTGCTGATAGAAACGCTACATTTGAAATTACCTGATGGTTAAAAAAACTTCCTTTATGCTCACACCTCTTCTGTAGTGCTAGCTAAATGCTAAATGGCCTGTATTTGTATAGCGCTTTACTTAGTCCCTAAGGACCCCAAAGTGCTTTACATATTCAGTCATCCACACATTCACACACTGGTGATGGCAAGCTACATTGTAGCCACAGCCACCTTGGGGCACACTGACAGAGGCGAGGCTGCCGGACACTGGTGCCACCGGACACTGGTGCCACCGGACCCTCTGACCGCCACCAGTATGGAACGGGTTAAGTGTCTTGCCCAAGGACACAACGACCGAGACTGTCGGAGCCGGGGCTCGAACCGGCAACCTTACGATTACAAGATGAACTGCCAACTCTTGAGCCACGATCGCCAAGTACTGAAGCAACAACTTACAGACACCTGCACTCGTTCCTGCTTACTTTAACCGCTGAGTACTATAAATGATACAGATGAGTCAGAAGTAATAAGCCTGTATTAAAAATGTGAGGGGTAGAAAGTGCAGATATTTATGGAGTAATATATGGAGTAAAAGTAAAAAGTTGTCAGAAAAATAAATACTCAAGTAAAGTCCAGATACCTGAAAATTCTACTTTAGTACAGTAACAAAGTGTTTTTACTCACTTTCAGATCAGGTTTTAGTTATTTTTTACGTTAACATAGCTAAACAAAGACAGTGACCATGTAAAATTAATGTGGTATCATGGCCACTGTGAACATGTAAACATGTGAACCAAAGTACAGTCTCAACTTGGCTAACACTGAGTATACCAGAAGAAGGCAGCTGCTGTAGCCTGACCTCTAGTGCAGAGCTTTGATGTTGAAACACACTATAAAAAGAGTCAGCCATCACTGACACCCATCCGAAACAATGAGAACGAGCTTAGCAAGCAGCTTTGT